GTATATTCATATGCAAAACCACTGACTGCATCAATGTTAATGGTAGCCTTTGTTTTGGCTGTTCCAACTGTAAATGTTTCTTTACCCACTAGTTTAAACATCCACTCTTTTCTTATTTCTTCCTGAAGAATAAAATAATTAAAAAGAGGAAAACGGGTGTTAATAAAAAGTCAAATATTTTTGTCTCGTTACAGAAAATATCAAGCCAAGTAGCAGATGGAGGAACTGGTGCAAACTATTGTCACGGTATCAGATCCAGGACCTGTAGTGAGATATGCAGTCTCATTAACGTCAGTGGGGTTCTCTGTAAACACAAGGATGCATTTGTGCGCATTTCTGTGTAGGATCTGAGCTGTAGCATGTGAGAGTGCATGGCAGGTATCAGACATCAATCCCTGTTAGTACACCTCACCCCGCTATAACACGACCCGCTATAACACGGGTTCGCGTATAGCACGGTAGCAGCGGGGCTCCGGCAGCGCTTTAAAGGGTCCGGGGCTCTGGCTGCTGCGGGGAGCCCCGGGCCCTATCACTGCTGGAGCCCTACTGCGGCTACCCTGGGGCTGCGGCAGCGAGGCTTGCTGGCAATTTAAAGGGCCCAGGCTCCCCGCAACGGCCGGAGCCCGGACCTCTTTAAATCACTGCCGGAGCCCTGCCGCCGCTACCCCGGGGCTGCGGCAGCGGGGCTCGGGCAGCGCTTTAAAGGGCCTGGGCTCCCCGCAGCGGCCAGAGCCCGGAGCTCTTTAAATCACCTCCGGAGCCCGGCCGCCCCTACCCCGATATAACGGGGTTTCAGCTATAACACAGTAGGGATTTTTGGCGTTCTATCGGGGTAGAGGTGTATTTCTACAAACTCATACTGTAAGACAGGGGCAGTTTATTTTTTGTCAAGGTCCAAATTTCTTGGTCAAGATCTAGACTCCAGAGAAAATAATAAAGAAATAAAAAAATTTCAGGGTCTGTTCAAAAGCATCTGGCAGTTCGGATTTGGCCCGCAGTCTACCTATTAATTGCCACTGCTGCAAGACAAACAAGGAGACAGAGAGCGAGAGAGAGAGAGAGAGAAAGGACAGCGAAGTGGATAGCGCCCTGCCCTTCTTATATTGTGAAGAGATCAATAAGAGACTGGAGAAGCACTACCAGGGAATGACATCAGATATTGGTAGAGTCTAAGGTTAGTACTGAACACTAGATGCCAGAAGCCATACTAATGATTCTCACGTGTAATGCAAGTAGAACTACTATTTCCCAATAAGGCAGCAAGCTATCAGCCATGCTGTGCCAAAGGGATAATATCTGGGAGATGAGAATTGCAAACCCAGGGTACAATATTGCAGCCTGAAATACATTCCTTCCTTTTAAGTATTACTCAGTTAACTTTGTTACAAGGGTAAAAAGCCTGTGTTCTATTTATTATTGTGTTTAACTAGTCATAGTGCTTTTCACACATAAAGATACAGTTACATAAGTATTGAGTGTTTTGCACATGTTCATTTTACCTTTCCATCTACATATACAACACGTTTTCCTGATGTAGTTCCATGTTCAAATTCAATCTTGTGAACACCATCACTTAAAGCAACCTCCCAAACAGCCACCAGATCTGTCATCTTCTCCAGGTAGCCGTAGCGAGACCTGAGGGAATAACAATTTTAAAGACTTATAATTCTTCTATTAATGTGCAGTATATTTTGTTCAAAGTTTTATTACTTCAGGTTACGTAAGCTTTAGCTAATTAAAAATAATCCTGATCAAGAACTGACTTAGCTGTAGGAAAGATTGGTTTAGCTTTTATTTATTTATTTACTTTCTCATCCACAACCAAATATAGCAAAAAAGTTTAAAATTGAAACAAATTAAGAAGCACACAATGAAATTATGTTGACCACAAAAATTAGAACAGAAATAGGCAAACATATAGTTTTACGTTGACAAATACTATATACATATACATCCATGTAAGTGCTAAAACTTCTAACTACAGAAGAATACTAGTTACAAAACTACCTAATTCCTCAGGCTCATCAGTAAATTATCTTGTTTGTTGGCATCTTCTAACATATAGTAAAAATTGTGTGACCCATTACAAATCATTTTAGGTTTTTACATTTCAGAGAATTTATATAACCATTTGTGGTAAAACTGTAAATCTTTTCTAGACTATTAAACTCAACCTTAACAGTTTGTTTAATAAATATAACACAAAAAGTGTGATTAAGTTAAAAAAAACTGCAGTTAGGTCAGTGATTTTCTACCTGTGGTCTGCAGACCCCTAGAGGGCTGCAGACTATGTCTAAGATTTCCAAAGGGGTCCACACTTCCCTTTGAAATTTTTTGAAATGAAAAAAGGTTGAAAACCACTGGTTTAGGTAATATCTGATATGTGTGTGCATGCACATATTATGATGCACTATTCGTTTAAAGAGAATAATCTGCACATCCATAGATCTGATCACCAACGACCATTACATTTAAAATTACAGACATCTTTCCAGATCAGTTTATACTGCAGTGAGTGTTTTGGGTTTTTTTTTTTTTTTACCTTACTTCATCTTCATAGAGAGTAATCTCTTCACGGGATGCCATAGTAACCAGAACGGCCTTTAATCCAATTAGCAGCAAAGAAAGAGAAAAGCAGAATAGCAGCAACAAAAAAAAATGTTGAGTACTGCAGTTCCATCTTAATTAAAAAATAATCCCTTCTTAGTTCTTTCCGTTTAATGTCCATGGATATTTTCACAAAAACATAGGGAGCTTTCACACACCCTAACATATGAAATGTAATGTAATACAGTTCTGACTTTTGTTAGACAACACTGGAATATAAATCAATACCTTATCTGAATATTTCATTGCAAATATAAATTCAATTTATCCACATAGGTTAAGGGTACATAGTGACTCATCCCTTATTCGATGGAAGACCTTTTGCCTAACTTCAGGTCAAAAGGTTAAGATCCCTCTCCTTTGGAAGAGTTTCACACCAGATCAAAATTTTGTATCTCAAGTAGAGATTACTTTGAGATTTGGCAGCTGAATATGTAATTGTAGTGAAAATTCACAGGACATCCATACCAAAAAAACAGAATTTACACAAAACTGATACATAAATGCACAGAAATTGTAGAGAAGTCAGTCTCAAAGAAAAATGGGAAAAGGAACTTAGTCTTACTATCACAACAGAAACCTGGGAGGATATGTGGCTTAATGTGAAAGATACTTCAAGTTTTTCATCCTTATGATTCTTCCAGAATAAGATATTAAACAGGTACAACTGGACTCTAGAACATTTATTTAAGGCTAGATTGGCAACTCACAACTGTTGGAGATGCAATAGCCACATGCCAACCTTTCACACATCCTCTACACCTGTCAAAAATGCAGGTGTTCTGGAATACCATACTCAGTGCTCTCTCTAAAACTGTGTCACTATTTTTCCTTCTCCAAGCTTGTGTGTTCTTGGGGTGCTGGATGAGTTGGTTATACTAGAAATGGTAATCCATTAAGAAATGGATTGCAGGAACTGTTTTAGTGGCCAAAAGAGTTATTTTGAGAAAATGGAAATCTGCAATTAGGCAGACTGGCTTAGTGACCTCTTTATTACAGCATTAATTGAAACAATGACTGTCTAATTAATACAAACACTTGGAAAAACTATAAAGATATTTGATCACACATGAAACTATTGCATACTTTTGCAGTTTAGTATCTATTAGTCCCCAATACTCATAGGATATGTTGTCACTTATTTACCTGTTTAGTCACTTTAATAATGGATGCCCTGAATGACCTCTACAAGTTCAGGGGTTTTTGTGCGTGTTTGTTTTAATTCCAGGCTTTCCAAATAATAAAGATTTAATTTTGTTATTTAAATCATATTTCCATCTTGTGCATATATTTATATTTTATATAAAGACTAGGTTTAAAAAAAAAGCACTCAATATGCCCCTTCTGCTGCCCCTCCTTCTCTATGCCATCTTTAGAAGTCCAGAAAACTTCTACCAATGGAGCAAGATTCATGCAAGTGCTATTTATTCTATTTTGTTAGTTTAGGGAGAGAAAACATCACTGCTACCAAGCTTATTACAACACAGGATACTGATCTTAACGGCAGTGAAATATCACGAGATTAAGTTGATGGCAACTAGTACTACCCTACTCGTCTGGAACTGAAAGAAACAATGGCCGTCGCCTCACCGCCTACCTCTAAATCAGAGCACCTGGCCAGAGACAAGCTCTGTGTGGTTACGGTATTGAACCAGGCTACTCTTACTAGACACTGCGGTGCTTCTCACAGGGACGTTAACAGTTTGATTTGACCAGCCACCGACGCTCCGCATTGATCAGCCACACACATGATGTTAATACTAACAGAGTCATCACTAACAGCGGCAAACTACCCGTGCGTCCTCTGTTGGCTGCTGACCTGTGTCTCCACGGGAGCCAATACACAGGAACCGCTTTTCTAAGGGAAAGGGGCGCTCCCACGAGATCACATTAGGATGTCGGGGCAGAGGGCCTCCAAGAAAGCGGAGCAGGGGCTCTCCCCAGGCGGGGCTACCCGGTGGCTCGGGACATTTACCGCGGAGCAGGGGCTGTTAGTGCCGCCCGGGCGCTGGGCCTGCCGCTACAGGTGGCTGGGGGCCAGGGGAGCGCAGCGGCCAGGCTTCACCGAGCGGGAGGGCGCCGCAGGCCAGGCACCGCGGGGGTTCAGAGGCCGCGGTGGGCTCTGAGGCGCGATGAGGTTGCAGCGCCCCGGAGGCAGAGGACGAAGGGCGCCAGCCCGCCCGGGGCTTCTCGTACCTGGGCGGGTCTCGCTCCGCACCACTCCCCGCAGCCGCCTCTCTCCCTCCGGCCCCCGCGGCCAAAATGGCGCTCGGGGGCAGGGAAGCGACGCGGAGCGCATCGATCAGAGCGACCGCCCGGCGCATCCACCGGCAGCGCCGCTACCGCCGGGGTGTGCGCGCCCTCGGGCGGGGAGCTGGGAGCGTGCGGCCCCACCCCGCGCCGCGGCTGCTCGCTGCCCTACGGGCGGCGGGGGGCGTTTCCCTCAGGCCGGCCCCCGCCGCCACCCTCCCTCTGCCCCGCCTCTGCAACGGCCGCGGAGCGTGTGGCGGGGCCGGAGGCAGAGCGAGCCCAGGTGGGGAGGGTCGGGAAGCGGCGGGGCTGGGATGGGCTGGCGGACGGGCAGGGAGGGAATGTGTCGGGGGAGCTGTGACCGGAGATACCCCCCCCCCCGTCGGTACAGGTACAGCCCCAGCCCCGCGGGGTGTATTTCCCATCCTCGCTAGGCCTTGTGCTGCGCCGCCCGGCCTGATTAGCTCCCTACACCCACCGGCCCAGCCTGCTCCCGTGTTGTTTGCGGTGTTGGGCCCAGCCCCTGAGTGAGACGAGGTGGGGGAGGCAACATCTTCTACTGGACCCACTTCTGTCTCCTTCACCGAGAGAAGTTGACCGAGCCGAGGCAGTACCTCCCCCGCCTTATCTCACCAGTATCATCCCCTGTAGAGCGCCAGCAGGTGCCAGGCACTTGGTAGAAAGGCCTGGAGCGGGTGGGTGCTAGGCAGAGACCAAAGAAGGAGAGGTGGTAGTATGTCTGGCCAAGCTTGAGCGTGCAGCCTAGTAGTTTGACAGTTTTTGTTGGGTAAAGGAATAGGGATTTTTAGCCATCTGGCCTGGTAACACTGAGCGTAAAGAAGCAGGCGTTTAACTAGCTGTCCTTGGCCAAAATACCCCATCCACTGTTGTGTTGTATGCCAGCTGTCTGTCTTGAGGCTCTAGGGCTGCTACTATATGCGCATTGGGCTGTCTACTGTCCTGAATTACATATAGTGGTATCTGTCTATAGTTAAAATGCTTTTGTGATGCAAAATCATGATGTCTGGGGCCAAACCTCTTCTGCATAATACCTATAAATGCCATTGCTTGGCAATGAGAGGATTGTACAAAATATGTATTGCAGGGCACAACTCAGTGTTGTTTTCTGACTTTTGTTTTTTTTCTCCTTTGATACTTGAACAGCTTCAGATCAGAGATCAGTTTGATATTTTAACAATCTGACAGTGAAAACCAACAACACAGGCATAACTTATGACTGAGGTATAGTACTAATTAATCTAAACTGTATATTGCACCATATAATGTATTTATTAAAGATTACCTGCTGTATGCTTCTTTGTGTTAAAATTTCTGGAATTAGCAAATTGGCAGGCTATAATGGACAGTACTGTCAAAGATGGTAGGCCCACAGTTGGACCTGCAGTACCGTTATAATTTTGCAAAAAATAACCCTAGCCTTTCACCCTGAACGAAAAGTTAAAGTACATTGCAAACACAGCACATGATAAACCAAAAAGACTAATAATTTTCCAGTATGAACTGCCGCATGTGCATACACATCCATGTGGTATGGTAATTCATTAAAATCCTTTTGGGGGTATGTGTACGCTGTAAAGTTGTCAACAGAACTTTTGTCTTTCACGAGTATTTAAAAAAAGCCCCTCTGCGAAAGACAAAAGTTTTGCCGACGCAAGTGGCAGTGTGAACGCGGCTTTGTTGGCAGGCGCGCTTTCCTGCCAACAAAGCTAACGCCGTTCGCAGGGCTGGAAGTATTTTGTCGGCAAAAGTGCCGACAAAGAGCGTTTACACACGCCTTGTCGCTAAAAGCTGCATGGTGTAGACAAGCCCTGGGTGACTTTCAAGAGGGTTGAACACTCACAACTGCCATTCACTTCAGTTCTGAAATCAGGCTCGATCTGTATAAATACAGCCACTATGGTATTTTGTTGCATTCTCTAGTTACCAAATGAAAATGTAGGCAATTATCACTATATGAAGGAAGAGAGAAAGCAGTGAGTTTATAGAAATGCCCCTGGCCCACACTATTTGTAGGATTGCTCACAATTGCTGTTCTTACTTTTAAATTAAAAGAATTAAACTAAAATCTGTTTTGAATAGATGATTCTGGCAAAGATTTTCAAGAATAGAGTCCAGATCTTCAAAGGTATTTAAGCTCCTAACTTCCATTGAAATCAATATCTAAATACCTTTGAGGATCTGAACTTCCACTGAAATCAATGGAAGTTAGGAGCCTAAATATCTTTGAGGATCTGGGCGTAGGTGCCTAAAGTTAGACTCCTAAAGCCATATTGAATTGCCCAAATAAGTGGCCTAATTTTCAGAAGTGCTGAGCAACCAGCATCCCCCATTGATTTCAGATTTTAAAGTTCTTGGCCTCTCATTAACAGTTATCTGTAAATTGATTTAAGAAAAATATGCCTGCTTCAAAATTATAGTTTTTAGTCCTCAGTGTGAGAGGTTTATAAAAACATGCGGCCTCATCCTGCAGTCCATTTTGATGTCAATAGGCATTTTGGCCTAAGTTTTCAAGAGTGAGTAATTATTTGGGGTACCTCAGTTTTCCCTAAAAGAGCCTGATTTTCTGAGGTAGGGTACTCAGCCCTTTTTGACAATCGGAGCCCTTCTAAGCTGTCGCCCGAAAACTGAGGTGCTCCAGATCACTAACCACTCTTGGAAAACTTAGGCCTTTACATTCGGAAAGACTGGAGGATTGGGCCAATTGACAGACAAGCACTTGCAACATTTCTGTGGGGTAGGGTGAATATAATCCATGTTTTACACATGTAGAAAGACTATCTAACCTAGTATTTTCACAAATTTCCTAAATGGAAAAAAAGGTCACTGTGAATCAATGGTAGAACCATTATTACATCTTTGGAGCCCTTCTGCCTAGGTCTGTGTTTGGTTCATGCAGTGCTTCGTATGTGCCATATACAAGGCCTGTCGGTTTTCATTTTTAATTTATTTTAGTTTTTCCAGGAATGTATTATTAGTATTTATAACAAAAATTTAAAAATGGGTGAAAATTGGTGCAAAAAATTTACATCACAGCTTGCTGGGTAAATATCAGGGTTAATATCAAGGGACAGGAGGATGGAAAAAAAATAACAGATAGAGAAAAGTGGAAGAGGTGAAGGAGCTGCCATCTCATGCTGCCTCTTCCACCTCTTCTGCTTCTGGGCCCATTTTAGAAGGCGAGATGGTGGCTTGGTTACCAGGACTGCCCAGGTTACTGAGCCACCATATCTTTCCAGAGTGGGGAGCTGGGTCCAGGGAGTTCTGGCACTACTATTTTTTTAGGACTGGAGAGCTGATCTCTACTCTCACAAGTACTCGTATATTTTTTGTACGATTGCCTTTCTTTAATAGACAGCCTCACATTTACACTTAGACTAGTGTATTGTTAACATAAATGCATCTACTTAATATAACGTATTTTTTTAACATAATCAGTATTTTCGTGTACTCGAGGGGTCCAAAATTCAGGTGAATATCAGTAAAAAGCACATAGGCTTTTATAAAATCCTGGACATTTTTGGTAAAAACTGAAAACAAAGGGCTTGACCGTATAGCAAGGATTAGAGGGCATTCAGCATGCAACTTTTACTTTGTTTGTGTTCAGGTCCCACAAAGTTGTGCATTGTCAAGTAATGCCCCAGCAGGCTCTATGCCGGTGACTCCAGCACAAAAGTCCACTGAATCATGGTGTCAGGTAAGTCCTTTTTTTAAAAACAGTAGAATGTGTAAATTTGCAAAGCTTTTTCACCCTTTGAAATGTAGATATAAATTGTTTGAGGAGTTAGCATGCGGTATTTAGTGTAGTTTGGTGTATTTTTCTTTGCTTCTTGCAGATCATCACTGAAGGTGAACTGAGAGCCTTTTAAACTGCCATGAAAGAGCTTAAGTTCTGAGTTCCTTTTGTAACTGTGACATGTTATAGTATTTTGTTGATTGGCATTAGAAGAAGCGTTCCATTGTGCACACAACTAGAGGGAATAGTAGAATTATTGAATATTATTAGATAACTCTCTGAATTCAAAATCTTCTCTCTTCCACCTCTCCTCCCATCTGTAGCAGGAGCAAGCAGAATGGGAAAACGTAAACAAATTATTAGTGCGACATGGCTTAAAACCCGTGTGTCTTGCTAACCCAAGAAACAGCAGAACTCTGACAGGTAATGAAGTGCTGTTCTCTAGCAACTCTTGTTATTTAAAAATATTAAACTTACATTCATAAATCCTCTTTTGATATAACCTTCTCCACTTCCAAATGTTTATGGAGGTGCAAGTTGCCGCTCCTTTTATCACTGTCTTGTCTATCTTAAATGTCTACAGATACGATTGTTTTAGACAAGCACTCTTCACTGGGGATAAGACTAGCATTGAAAACACTGGTGGACGACACTGAACGACAACAGAAAATGATGCATGGCCTTATAGAGGCTAATCGCCAGCTTAGGTAAGACTTAGTGTCAGTGAAAAGGAGTTTTCACAAATGTGAAAACGTGTTCTATATTTATGCAAGAGGCACACTTTCTTAAAAATTACCAAACCATTAGTTAAACTTTCCTTTTTCTGAGTATTGGAGTTTTTATCCTCACTTAAGTCCAAATCCTTAGTTCTTTTGCACGGGACGTGGGATTTATGGGTCATGGGGGTACCTGGTCAGCTGCTTTGCCATTACGGCAGCTGCTTCTGTAGTCCCTTTACTCGGGGTTCTGGCCAATGGAGCTGGCCTGCCTCACTACCCTACTTCCATGGGCTGCTACTGAGAGTCCCCTTGTGCCATGTCTTTGGGGCCTATCCTCCAAAAATACCAGTATTTCACTACATTACTGAAGTGAGTTTATTATAAATGAAGGTAGGGCTCCATATTTTTGTTTTGTTTTAAATTAGGGATGATATACGCCAGGAGAGAGGTCGGGCATGTCGACAGGAACAACGAGCCAAAGAGTTGGAAAATGTTGTGGAGAACATCAAATCCAAAATTTGTCAGCTGGAAGATGAGTGTATAGCTAAAGTTTGCCAGCAACAGAATCAAGTGAAAGAACTTCAGAAAGATCAGCAAGCTTCACAGGTGCTTCTAACAGTAACATTTGGGGACTCAAACCACAAATGCTTTTGACTGCTTTAAAGGGCTTTTGAAATATTTTCAGTGATCAAAATAACAGATGTGAGAGTGTTATGGAGTTTAAGGCCAGAAGGGACCACCAGATCATCTAGTCTGACCTCTTGTATATCACAGGCCACCAGCGCTATCCAGCACCCTTGCACTAAACTTAACTGTCACTATAAATTGTTATATTGTTTGTATTTATGATTTTGAACCCCTACACAGTTCTTTGAAGAATAGGGTTGTAATAAAGAATAAAATTACCCCTTCCCCCACTTCTCCCACCTAGTTACTACATGTAGACAGCAAGAACTTAGATTTTGTGAAACCATTGTAGTTTGCCAACTCTGTATCTTGTTTTACACACAATGTGTCATACTCCTTTTAGAATTTTCCTATCCCCTATTTGCAGACAAAGTACCATCACCAGAATGAAAAGTTGCATGAACAGGAAGAGACTATTGCACGTTTGCAGAAGGAGCTCCATAAGGTTGGGATGGAAGAGCAGCAGCGTGTTGCCACACAGAACAAAATGTTCTGCCAGTTTTGCAAGCGAGCCCCAAAGTCTCTCTTAGATCAACAGTAAGCAACTCTTTACCACCATGTTCATAAGTGAGAGCCTGATAATATTCTATGTAAAATGAAGAAACCGTTTTTAAATAACTATTCATTATAGGGTGGAAAGCATGAACATCTTAGAAGTGCCAGTTTAGAAATTACAGGTCCTTTTTACGTATCTGTATAATAATTTTTTATGTATAATAAAACTGAGTTGGGTAAGTAATTTCATAGAGAAGAACAAGAATTACAGCCCTTGTACGCTAGGTGGAAGCAAAGGGAAGAAAGTGACACTCTTTCCATATTGAATAGAATTCTAAATGGAGACGTGTAACGTATACCACTAGATAGGTTGATCCCAATCTGTATTGCTAAAAATTAGGCTGTAAGTTTTTTTTTTTTTTTTTTCGTATTAAAGAAAGCAGCCTCTGCAGCCTATCCATAAGCATCTGAGGCAGTGTGTGAAGGCTGCTCCATATTCCAAGATTGATGTAGGGGATTCCATCCCTCTCCCCCAACATACAGTAGCATCTGTATATTGCTGATAAATTATAAGGTCGCATAGACTGTTGGCTTCACAGAGGCTTATGTGAATGCCATAGGAATTCAATTGGCAAGCTCTGTACCCCCTAACTTTCTTGTTAATGTTGGATGAGCAGGGGCGAGGCATTTCCTCAGGTTGACTATTTGTTGGGAGAATTGTTCAATAATTGTGCCTTGGTATTTCTTCTAGTAGATAAGACAGCCTCCCATCTCCAGTTCATGTCTAGTTTCTTTTTAAACGAGCGTCCATAGACTATCCCTCCTATTAGGGTACTCCAGTCCTTGGAATTCAGAAATTTCGTCAGGTTGTTAGCCCTGGTGGGGATCTATTTGCAATCTGATAGGTATGTGAGGTGCTCCTTACTGCCACAGATTTGGCTTTTAACCCTGCACAGCGAGCCAACCTTCTTTTGAATGGCTGCCAATTTCAGCCTGGTACAGGGTTAGCACCTATGGTTTGCATAGCCTAGAAAGTGATGGCTATTTTGTGCTGCGTTCACTGAACTGATATAAGCGAGAAATGGCACAGATAGGAACTTTGGGAGATAAGCAATTGCATCAAGCAATTTTTGGTTACAATACTTTGATTATTGTATTTTAAAATTACATAGAATAATTGCTTGTGGACTATTTTTAAAGTTTAAAATACATTTCTTTCCTCCTTCAGGTTTCTTAGTCTAATTGATTATTATGAATCTCAGATTAATCAAATGAAAAAGGAGCTAAGGTAGGATTGATCCGTTCATTAGTAACTGTTGAATTAATGGTATATAAAGTTACATTACATACTTTTCCGGTTGACGTCAATAGGAATTTTACCCTGGACTTCAGTGGGAAGGCTCTAAGGGTCTCGGCATCCTTAGCTACTGCTGAAACCAGAGGCGTTGAGGGAGCTCAGCACCTCTTCAGAGGCACTGAGCAACTTTCAGGGTTTGCCCCAATTGAAAATTAAAGTGGTTAATGTTACATATTATGTGATCCAAAAATCACTAACATGTTAAAAGCAGCAAGGGACTACAATGGCCTTCAGGTTTAGATACTATGCCCCGATTTTGATTGGCATCCACGGCGGAGGAAGAGGGAAAGGTACACCACCAGCTTTGTTCATGGCATAAACTAGAGTGGGCCAAAGATTGCTCCAGCTTTTGTATCTGACTGCCGACAGTCAGGAAGTGCAGAGCATATACATGCCCCAGCTGTGTTGCTTTTTCCTCTGGCCATTGCCCTTCCGCTAGGGTCCAGGAGATAGAACTCCCCTGGCATAGCAGTTCTGTCTGGTGGTGCAAAGCATCCAGCATGCAACTGACCCAATAATCTGAGATGTTCTGCTTGGAAATTGAGCAGTGTAATCTGCTTGCATTGGGCTTCCCTCTAGTTGGTCCAGGGCATTTGATTCAGTGAATGAAATGCAGCCTGAGAGAAATTAGGAGGCGTGTGTGGTCTGAGAACGGGATGCTGTTCTGCTTTTCATTTGTGGTCACATCATTTAGTGTAACTTCTGTTGGTTAAGCAATTTATTCATGTGTATTGAATTTCAGTAAAATGGAGTTTATTTTCCCTCTTCTCCACCCAAAGCAGAAATAAAAAAGATACAGATCATGTACAAGGAGAAGGAAAAGGCAAAGAAGAATTCTTAAATCTAGATGCCACACCTAACTATAGAGCATTGCTTATGGTATGGAACTGCTAGCTATTAATAAATGCAGATCTAAAAACAATGGTTACATGTGGGGAAAAAATAAGTACTTGTTATGTATGTATTTGATTTTATTCTTCTACTCCCACTCTTGTCTGGGATTGTATGCTCCTAGGAGGTAGGTTTGTTATTGTCTTAGCTGTTTATTCACATATCATCTAGCACAAGGGGTTCTCTATCTTAACTAGGGTCTCAGGTGCTATCATAATATACATATTACAATAATATCTTGAGTTTACCATTTTATAGATGTAAAAGTGCACAACCCGATTAGATGGGTGCTTTGATTAAGTATTGATTTGAAAAAATAAAGAGAGATAATGCAGTCTGTGTTGTAGTCTTTCCAGAATCAGCTCATTGAGACAAAAGCCAGGAATGAACAACTTATGTGTGAAAATACAGATCTCAAGAAAGATCTGGAAATAAGGTGAGAAGTGAAAATTTTGTCTTTGGTAAAAGACATTTCAACAAACTTTACAGCTTCACAAGAAAAGAAACAAACACCATCATGACGCACCAGAAATTGTACAAATGCACCAAGAAACCTGCTATTAAAAACAATGCATAGAATTATCTTAAGATGATGCAGCAATAATTTGCTTTAAGGAGAACTATCAGTTACTGCATTGAGCATCCTGTCCTCCCCTGTTGGGTACTTGCCCTTCACTTAGTGGTCAGAGGCAGAGGAAGTGCAGCCATTCGCACATGTGGGAGCCTGAGACCCCCTTGATGAGCTGACTGCCAGAAGCAGTTTGTAAGAATAGGATCTCTACACTAATAGCATTGTTACTGCTAAGGCCTAGTCTGCGCTAGAAGAGGTTTGTTGGTGTAGCTAATACCAGCAAAAACACTTTGATACCAGCAAATCCCTGTCTAAACAGTCGTCTTGTGGATACAAAAATACTGCAAAATGACTCGTACTCCCAGTAGACATTGCTATACTAGCAAGTGTTCCTAGTGTAGCCCTGACTTTCAGTTAGACACCAATAAAGTATGATGTATAATAAAATATTTTCTTTTCAACAGACCAACTGCACAGGAATTAAAACTTTGCAAGCAGCAAGTGAAGAAATTGGAGAAAATGCTAAAGAAAAATATCAAGTAAGTATATTTAACTTTTCAGCATAGTGTAAACTTTCACTACTCTCTCTGGTGTTTTAAAAGTGAAGGTGTTCTACTGTGTACAGTTTATATGCTGGCTCATGAACCTGTTCCATGGTGTCATTCATGAGACCGTGGTTAATGACCAATATTTTGCTGTACATATGGAAAAAGCAGGTGCATCTCTGAAATGATGGGATGACATCCCAAGAAAAGAGCTGATAATTCAGCTCTGGGCCCCATCTACCCTAGGTTTAAAACAATGTTGTTTCAGTTGGTTTTGAACACCATTTCAGACAACATGAGAAAGGGGACAAACCGTTCTGGTCGTTTTTGGGAAGTTTACAAACTGTTCCAGCCATCTAGGCTAGAGTACTGTTTCTAACCCAGTTAGGTCACATCCACGCTGGTTGAATAAGCTGTTATATACAGTTTTTGTTGCAACCTTGTTAAGCAAGAGTTTTAAAAGTTAGAAACCTAGCATAGCTGGAGGAGGTATTTATCTGTAGCATCATTTGACCAGATATTTTCTAAAAAAGTAATCCTGTTTTTGCACGCGCTCGTCTGTGTATATGTGGAGTGCCATCTGCGTGCCTAGTTATACAGAACTTGGAAGACACCTAGCTTATATACAAAACTTCAGGATGTGAACTTTCAGAGATATGCAACATTTTCTCATCTGTTAATTTTAATATATAATGTGGGTGGTGGATTTATACTGATAGGCTTCTCAGAATAAGTGCATCTTGAGGAGAGCTTGTTTGCCTCACACAGTAAGATAAGAAAGGTGTTCAAGAGGCAGTATGTAAGGAAGGCACTCTAATACTATGTCAAAGAGTGCTATAAAAATGTTCAAATGCCTGTAAAAACTGAAGACCAAATTCTGTGGTCCCTACACAAGTAAAATTCTCATTAATTTCAATTCATTGACCACTGTAAGAATTGCAAGAATTTTTCCATTAAAGGTGGGGATAGCTTGCAAAGAGCAGGTGTGCATGTGAGTTTAGAAAGGGATGACAGTGGAGATGTAGACTGGAATAGAATTGTGTAGTACCTTGAAGGTTAAGAGCAAAAACTTCTGAGGCTAGATTATGATACTCAAGTTGAGTAGGGTCTTACTCCTCAAATAGTTGATGTCAGTGGGATTTATTGTATAGTCAGATACTGCTCAACATAAAGAGGGTAACACAATCTAGCCCTTGCTAATCCATGCTAACCATAGTTTAAATTGGTGGTTGCTAGGACAGTTTCATCCTTGGGTACCCTTATGTTGTATAATACTGCACACTGACCTTGCACCATCTAATCACAACTGGGGAATAGTGTGTTAGTGAGTTCAGTGTCAGCTTTTACCTTTGAATTTTCACATGTTTAGTGTTTAGGGCACAACTTTTAATTTTAAAACTTTCTGTTTAAGATGATCTGATTTCAATAATATGATGTAAATGGGAAAAAAGTGCACATATAAAGCTTTCTGTGTAAATATAATAAGACTAAAAAAGATGGAGATTTTAGCTGTAAGTGCCAGTGTATTTTTCCTCTACTCAGGTTGAAACGAAATGCTGCTATTGGGAGACCTTGTGTGAAATGCTGTATTTGTTTTGCATGTAGATCATATGGGATTATTAGGGGAGAAAAGATAAAAGAAAACAATGAATCTGAGAGTGTGACAGGAGAAGATCAGCTACAAGCAGGTTGCAGGAGATACTTACAGGTATAGATACACATTTCAAATGGATTGTTTTCAATTATAGCTAACTGTTCTATAACAAAACATAAAAGACTAATCTCATATAACTATTTATTTAAACTTAAGTATGTGGTGTTGTGATTCAGAGTTTTCATATGTAGTCCCATGCCTCAATGTTTAATAGTCAGCATTTTTGCACTAAGGATAAGGCTATTTGGCATGAACCTATTATTATAGTGTAAATTACCACATCAGATTGCAAGGAGGCAGAGAGAACGGATTGAGACAGAACAGAAGTGACAGTGCCTGAAACTCTTTCCAGGATAGAAGGCCTGCTCAATGCCCTTTGCAATACTTATGCTCCATGTTAAGGGCTTAAGAGGCGTGGAGGAACTGAAGTCGTTCCTCTGTACTGTTGGGAAACTTCTCCCTGCAAAAAAATATAGTGGGTTAGCTAAATGTGAACTCGAGGGTAACAGTGTCATGAGGGACGAGTGTTACTGTGACATGCAAGGTGAGGTATGTTTACATTTTTGTATTTATTATTTGTATTGTGGTAGTGTCTTAGATCCCGAGTCATGAACCAGGACCCATTACGCTAGGCCAGTGGTGGGCAACCTGTGGCCTGTCAGAATAATCCGCTGGCGGGGTGCAAGACAGTGTTTATGTTGACCGGCCGCAGCTTCCAGTAATCACAGTTTGCTGTTCCCAGCCAATGGGAGCTGCGGGAAGCAGCATGGGCTACAGGGACGTGCTGGCCACTGCTTACCGCAGCTCCCAGTGGCTGGGAACGGTGAACCACGGCCACTGGGAGCTGACTGTGGACGGTCAATGTAAACACTATCTCGCGGCCCACCAGCAGATTATCCTGATGGGCCACAGGTTGCCCACCATTGCGCTAAGCACTGTGCAAACACAGAACAAATAAATGGTTCCTGCCGCAAAGAACTTACAATCTAAGTAAGCATTCTGACCTTTTCCCCTCTCCCCATCCTGACAAGGCAGTGCCAGCACAGTGCTCCTTTCACAGGTTTAGCGCCTGCTGTTTTGCGTGCTGCTTGGCACAAGTAGGAGACAAAAAGAAGCATCTTAAGCAGTTTTTCAGATTTTTCAAGCCCTTTACAAGTGAAGTTCCATTTGAACGCATGAAAATCACTCTGACAGAAAATTGTGAAAGGTCTAAGATCTATGGCTTCTGTAACTTCCAGAGAAGTACACTTCATACCATCTACATCACCACTTATCTAGTGGCTGTCAATCAAATACTGCAAATGTTTCTGAATAACTCAAATAGTGATTGGTAATGTCTAGCTACTGTAAAGAATGGAATTATCAGACACATAGATGAACATGGTATGTTGGGGAAGAGACAACATGGCTTTTTTTTAAAGGAAAATCATTCCTCACCAATCTAATAGAATTATTTGAGGGGTCAATGGGCATTTGGATAAGGGTGATCAGTTGAGATAGTATGCTTGGACTTTCAGAAAGCCTTTGACAAGGTTCCCCCCCCCAAAGGCTCTTAAGCAAAGTAAGCAGTCATGGGATAAGAGGGAGGGTCCTCATAGATCAATAACTGGTTAAAATATAAGAAACAAAGGGTAGGAATAAATAGTCAGTTTTCACAGTAGAAAGAGGTAAATAGTGGGGTCCCCCAAGGATCTGTACTGGGACCAGTGCTGTTCAAAATATTCATACATGATTTGGAAAAGGGGATAAAAAGTGAGGTGGCAAAGTTTGCAGAAAATACAAAATTACTCAAGATAGTTAAGTCCAAAGCTGACTGTGAAGAGTTACAAGGTTGACACACAGTCAACTTATGGAACTTTTGCCAGCGGATGTTGTAAAGGCGAAAAGTATAACTGGGTTAAAAAAAACAATTAGATATATTCATGGAGGATAGGTCCATCAGTGGCTATTACCCATGATGGTCAGGGATGCAGCCCCATGTTCTGTGTCCCCCTAAACCGCCGACTGCCAGAAACTGTTTGGACAATGGGATGAATCACCTGATAATTGCCCTGTTCTGTTCATTCCCTCTGAAGCATCTGGCACCAACCACTGTTGGAAGACAAGATACTGGGATAGATGGACCATTGATCTGACCCAGTATGGCCATTCTTATGTAGCATGCCATCACCTGGCCATGCCCAAGGCAAGCAGTAATGCTCTAGAGCTAATGTGTTCGCCATTAGCTGGTAACATTGCTATTACTGCGCCCTTTTTCTTCCCCGAGCCTGCTTGGCAGTCATTACTCACTACTCTGTACCATTACCTATCTTCACCTCCTCCCCCATTTGTGTGGATTAGCGAGGTTCTTCTGTTCATTTGAACAAACATAAAATGCTGCATGTACGTGCCATGAAAACAATTTCCAAAGGAAACAAGTGGTTTTTTGCAATAGAATTGCTTGTAAAAATGCTGGCTAAAATTTGTACATTTCGTTGGTTGAATTTAGGTCTGTATAACAGCAGATGTTGAGATGTGTTGTAATGCATACCAAAGCTCTGAGTGAGACTCTGTCCTTTTGTGTACATCTGTTTTGAGGGCCTGCAAAATAACTCTTTGAAGCTCGTCTTGTAAGATTTTTCTCTAGTCTTCTCGTGTGAAGTGTGCACACTTTTTTACTGTTAGTGAACGTTTTAGTAAGTGGCTTGTAAATGGTGATGTGACTGACTAGATCTTTGTCTTCGAATCAGTTATTTAGATTAGTGTTGAAGTATACAGATAGTATTGTACAGTGTGAATGTGTAACTATTGAAACGATGATATAATTTCCTAGGCTAAATAACAACATTGTGTTGATTATTTGAGCAATAAAAACATCTCTTTGGTGTTAAAGGTGCTGTCCAGGATTGATTCTGTTATAAGTAGTCCAAGAGCTCCTCTGGTAATATATAAGTGGAGTAAAGGGCCAGTCCAAAATTACATGAAAGAGAATGGACAAGAATGTGGTTTTGAACACCTTCCTCCTACAGTGGAAATGTGGGCAGACCAGCTAATGTCCCTAAAGGTAATAAATGATTGTACTTAACTTTGCATTCCTTAACTGGTGACCATCTCTTTCTTTCCATGTTCTACGTTAGCATATGTAGCTTCCAAATCTATTATGGCTTAATTTAATTTTTAAAAATTTTTTACGTTATTATTCCAGTCACTTCATTCACGTACTCTTTTAAAATGTAGTATCCTGGATACAGCTAAGTGATTTTTGTTGAAAAATGGAAATTTGGTGACACTGAACCACTTTGCAAATTCATGTCTTTTGCCAGATGGTTCATGAAAAACCCCTTTTCCCAAAACAACTTAAAATCACACAGTTTTGTTTCATTTCAAAACAGTGTTTCAATGCTTCAGTTTGTAACAACTTTTTGTTCTAAAATTTCCTGTAATTTTATTTAAAAAAAAAAATCATTTGTGTAAAAATGGTCAAAATTAAAACAGATTTTCATTTGACCTGAAACAATTTTTTTTTAAACTTTCTGAAGTTGCCAGTGAATTGAAAAATCAATTATTTACCAAGCTATAATCCTAGATAGGTCCTGTGGTATGGAAAAGGATTAAATATCTTCCTCCACTCAAATATTGTATCATACAAACACATTTGGATTACTCTGAAGAGTCCCTGGGAAAAAATCATAGAATTTATATTCTGTGTATTTTATGTTCTAGTGTTCTATCTTTTCCTTCTTACCAGACTGTTGGCTTTTTGGTGTAAATAAAGATGTTAGGCCATTTCCCACTGTAACAAACTACTAGGATCTGTTAACAAAATTATACTAACTACACTTAAAAAAAAAAAAATCACACATGCACACAGAACAGTGATGTTCTACTTGGGCCTGAGAATAAACAAAGAGCTTCTGTTTACTGGTTTCATGGCAACTAAATCTAAAATCTGTAACACTAGATTATGCATCTTGCACTAAGTCAATTTGCCTAATTGTTATTTATGAAATTATTCATTGCCTGGTATTCTACTTTATTAAGAGTTGTGCCTTATTTAATAGTTACATTATTTGTTATTAAAGGACTTGCATAGATCCCTGAGAAAGCTATCACTGGAGTTGGTGCCCTGGCACACAGTAGACGCACTTAACATCACTGAATGCATTCGAGTTGAAGACCTACAATTCATAGTCGATACAATCTTGGAAGAAGTAGAAAATAAGGACAAGGTAAGTTTTCGGAAGTTTAATGTTTTCCATTGCAAAAGCTACTCTGAAATCCCTGTTTGTATTCCTTGTATATTGATTAGAGTTATGCATTTGAAAGCCTGTACAAGGTTTCGGAGCAAGGTGCATGAAAATAAATATTATGGCAAAAACTATTAATATAATTTAATCCCATATGTAACTCTATTTAAATCAAAGGAGTCAGACAAGGGATGGATTTGGCTTAAGATGTGTAATCAACATTTCAGCTCTGATCTTATTTTGTCTATTTCTAAATCAGCAAAGAGAATCCTTAAATATATTCCCCAAACCATTAAAAAGTGAGGTTACCCTCATATCAAAAGAACATTGGTGGACATTTCTGGCTAAGAACTTTTAAAGTATGTCTTTTGTCTGAATAAATTCATTCCTAATCTTTTAATAAGAGAAGTCTATTTTTCTTCAGAGCCTAGTTTAAATATGTTCCATGGCTTAAAGGGTATTGCTATCTTTCTCTAAGAAGTTACTTTTTGTGCTTGTCACAGAACGGCCAGATGCCTTCGTTACAAACATTGTACGCAATTGTGTCTCACTTCCAAAAGTTGTTTGACGTGAGTTCTCTGAATGGAGTTTATCCGCGAATGAATGAAGTTTACACAAAGCTTGGAGAAATGACCAATGCTATGAGAAACCTCCACGAGCTCTTAGAACTAGGTAAGGACTTACTGCCTTTCACTTAGTCTCTTTACAAGTAACTAAAAGTTGGTTGAGAAGAAGTTGGTCTTGACACAGAGAAGAGGATGCACTAGCTGTGTTGTGAAATGAGTAGTCAGTCAGTCACAAGGGTTTGTGAGAAGAAAAATAAAAACATGGCAGGGTCACTACCCTTTAGTTTGAGGAGGGGAAGCTCATCTGTTATGGATCGACAGGATCGGTGCTATGCCACAGCTTTTAAACAGTCTCTTGGAGGAGCTCTTCAGTGTGCCAGACCCCAAGGAGTCCTGTTCTTCCTTCAGGGTAAGCACCACTGCCTCCTCGACTCAAGGCTCTGGGCTCCAGCTCACCATGAGCTCTGCCCAGCAAGTCCAACTGAAATAGGCCCCCTGTAGAGACTTGTACAGAGACTAATGCACCTCAGCAAGTATTCACAGTGATACCCAAGTAGTTTTTCAAAACAGTAGAATTTATTAGTCAACTGGAACACAGCATGGAAAGACATAAAGGTTAAAGCATAGTCAATTCTGGTCAAGCCAGAGCAAACCAACAGTTAAGTTGTAGCATGTTCCATCTTAGGCCCTGTCTCTTTCTGACCTCTTTAGTTAGCCCCGGGAGAGAACAGCCAGCCTCTTCCAGAACCAGAAGTCTGCACTTACCCTTTGCTGGTCACATCCCAGTCCTTTGTTCTCGAGCTGAAGTCTCTCCTCGGTTTCTCTGCCGAGTGTGTCAGTTCACGAGTCAGTGGCGCTTGCATTGTCTCTCTGAATCCCATGTTGATCTGAGTCGATTTCAGCCACTTCCTAATGACTTTTCATTCCACCCAGACAGTGAGGTGACACACACATCTGTGCTGGAGCAATGCAAAGTATAGAAGGAAACTGAGGCACACATAGGATTTGAAAAACTTACAGAAAATTCCCACTTTGTCACACCATCATCTGTGTGATTGTTGTTTGACCTGCAGCATGCTGTGACTGGGAAGAGGTGGTGATTGAATAATGAACGGAAGCAACGGGAGGAAACTTGTTTTTTTTTTCAAAATATTTAATTAAAAACACTAACATCTTATGTTACATCTATCTATTGACCCTCTGATTGTTTTACTTGTACATTATACTCCTTTCTCTACCTGAAGGTTGAGAGTTTAAAAAAAGTCAATTTTTGTCTGCATTTGGAGATCTTCTAACATGTATTGTTACTACAACTTAAATAACTGAATCTGTCCTCTTAACAGCCATTCTCATGCTGTTGTAGACATCTTTTATAACTCTCCTCAGTGACTTTGCCTTTCCATGTCCAATTTTCAGTCTTTTTTTTCCATAGCTTGCTTAATTTTTTTTCTCCCTTGGACTATTTTTTTACAAAAAATTAGAATGTCAAAAATGGATCTGTACAACTCAAGACAACCTACTCAGTTACTCCCAGAAGCAAATAACTACCTTGCTTACTGGTTTTTGTGTGATCATGGACTAGCTGCTGCAAGACTCTTTCCTACCACACTTCCTGTTTGACTTACCAGTATGGACTAGCTGTTTGGCTGCTTTGGGGGTGCATATATAAATCAGTCAGAGTAAAATACTGATCAGCCATTATACTGGGGAATGAAGGTCAGTTGTGTAGCCTGTTTTTTAGAGGCAAAATGGATGGTTTGGTCATTGCCTCTAGCAATGCTGGGTAGCCTTGGAAGTTGCATTCTTTCATAATAAATACATAGGAAGGGAAGACCTTGGGTGACTGAAGGAATTAATGTTACTGGGGAAAAAATGGAGTTTTCTTCTGTCGGATCCTTGCTGCAGTTAGAAGACTTAATAGTTCAGCACGCTTTAGACCCATGTGATTTCAACTGAATTTGAAACCCTTGCAACAGAAGTGCTTTTTGAGCCATTAAGAGATTCCTCACTCTAAAACAGCTATACTGATCATGTTTTCAGCTAATAAAGTGAAGTTACAAGTTCTACAGCTGGTGTATCCTGTGAATACTGAAACATGTGGTGTATTTAGAAAGCGTTGTGAAAAGGTTAGTGAAAGCGGGGATACTAGGATTGCTTTGTGCATAAAATACTTCCATGTTGTTGCTATTTTGGAAGCTATGACACGTTTGTTCTTTCCAGATCATTCAGCCCCACCTGCTGTACTGGTGAACACTGTTGGAAAGCTATGTAAGGTAATTAATGAAAACGTGACTGGACAGGTAGAGCAGCTGCTGGGGACCCAAGACATCCAAAGGTATTTTGGCTTCTATAACAGGTGTAATAACACATGATTGAGTTATGAGAACTGGCTAGGATTACTTTATAACTTTCAGCATCACCATTTTTAACTCTTACACAAGTGGACTGGAGAACTTGCCTCAGGAAAATGTTTCCAGGCTGCACTGGGAGGGAAAAAACCCCTAAAAATTAAGGCCAACGTCAAGATCTAAAGTTTCTATATTTTACTTGAGACTATAGTCAGTTTAAACCAATATCCTATTAAAGTTGTGAATTTTACAAGGGAGACAAAACAAATATTGCATGTGTGTGGTAGGAAGAACTACTATTACAGCTGAAACATCTTAATTGGATACTCATGGGGAACTGGTTGGTTGGTTGATTTCATTGAATTGATCAGGCCTTGAGCTCCCTGTAAATATTTTTTAAAATTGCTTTTCTGATTCATAACGTTTTCACTTGTGAAATATGTGCATAGCTTTAGGGCTTGTCTATGTGTTTGAACCCCCAGTGGGAAAGAACATTATGGGAGGCAGCTGCAGGTAGATAATGGTACATGAGGCTTTCCTCTTCACCCCCAGGACATCCAGTGAAAATTAAAGGAATCCTTTCACTCAGTGTACAAGCAGCCTGTGAACCTCACTGGCTCAAGATATAATTGGAGAAAGGAGTTTAAACAGGACATTTATATAGATAACAAGAACAGCCAGAGTCAATAAAAGTCCCCTACTGCAAGATTTCTTGCACCTTCCTCTGAAATAGCTGGTACTAGCCCCTATCAGACAATATACTGGATTATATATACAGACCACTGCTCCGATCCAGTCTTGTAAAGCAGGGGCGGAGAAACTTTTTTTTCTACCGGGGCCACTGACCCCTGCAGGGGGGTGCTGAGAATTGGGGCTTTCCCTGCAGCAGGGCGAGCCAGTACTTGCAGCTCCAGCCCCGCGGGGGAGGGGCGCAGAGCTTCTGGCCCATGGTGCGGACACTTGCCGCAGACCGCATGAAATGAAACAGCAGGCTGCAGGTTCCCCACCCCTGTTGTAAAGAACAAAGCCATGTCACTTACAGAAACTTCTGCCTTGGTTATGGCAAAACATAAGTTTGCACAGTTCCTTTGTATAAGTCATTTGTGCAGGACCATAACCTTAAAAAATTACAATTGACTCATTTCAGTATTATCAACAAACTGGAAGAACATGAAGACTTCTTTCCAGTATTTCAAGCACTTATTCAAGATTTACTGTGTGTTTTAGGTAAGTCATTTTTTACAAAATGGTTTCAGCCAGAATTTCCTCAACCCAAAATGACCTTCAGTGGAAACGTCAGTGTGTTGTTTGTGTACACAGTCGTGGTGTTCCTCGGCCTTAATTCCAAAGCCAGCGAGTGGGGCCAGTGATGAACATCTGCCTCCACTTCTCTTCCCTCCCATCTCCCATTGTTACTAGCATGCCATGTATTGCTTGTTGCAGGGCACTGGTATGGGGAAGCAGGGGAGCCTCAGAGCAGGTGGGGTAAAACAAATGGATCCTGGCTCTTAAGTATGAGGTTTGCAGTGAAGATATGCTGTGTGCACAGCCAGAATTAAGGGAAACATAACAGCCTCACACTACCCCTCTGGCCCAAGTTTAGAGATTTTCATCCCAGGCTAGCTGGAGCTGTGGGCTGCTAATCCTCAAGTCTCCCCCCCCC